ATGTTCAGAGGCTGCCAATATCTGTTTGTGCTGCTAATGGTCACTGCATTCATAATGTACAGTAAGTAGTAGCAATCATCTCTTAATACTGTAATAAAATGTTCACAACTTAAAAGTAAACACACTCCAAAATGAGCTGCTATAGTCTTGATGGAAGCTGGGCCTTTTATAATAGATACCATAATGAAATATTCCTCATTAAATTTATTGAGGCTTTTAATAAGCTGGTCCTCCAAATGTGAAAAGTCAGTGTTGATACACTGGGCTTGTATGGCTGAGAAAAAAGGGAGTGCATATTTAATTCTGAAAGATAATAAGACAGATTAGGCCATTTTTTATTTTAAAATGTGCTTGTTCCAACATTTATAAGAGTAACCAGATAAACCTGCCAAATTCTCTTCCTCTTATACAAAGAACTGGCTCTAGTAAAATTTCGGTCACATTATTACACGATTTTAGCACAAGAGAAAAGAAATCTAAAGTGGAATGATGACAAACTTGCCATTTTTAAATCTTCTTCCCTAATATCTGCCCAAAGTCTTACAGACATTTTATGTGCCGATAATCCTGAACATTTGACAGCTTTTACATAATATTCTAGGCAAAGGTGACCTGATTCTCCTCCACTGTTGACAGTTCAGCTGAAATGGCCCTCCAATAAATGAGGCAGGATTATCTAGCCAAGATGGCAAACAACAGCTTATAATATGCATCAGGAAATTTCCTAGCGCGTAGAAGCTTTGTCTTCAATGACACGTGGATCGTGCCTGAATATAAAGCACATGTTGCCCAAGATACTTGATAAGTTTTAAAGGACAAGAACACACAAAATGACTTCATATTGAAAAACAGTTGTGTATTCCACCCTTTGAAGTGTAGAAAGTGCCACTGAAAGAAGCTCCAAGAGTATTTTATTGTTGTGTGAGTATGTGTCACCTCCCTTAGTTACATTCCAATGACTTGAATGAGTCTCCAGCATAAAAACCCTAGAACAACACAGAGAATACACTAAATATGAGTTGCAAAAAATTAATGAAAATAAGCATGTGCTGTGACAAAATTGTGTAGGGCTTGTGCAATGTGTTCAAGATGTCTGCCTTGACGTACTACATAAAGAATGCTACTTTTGCTTTTTAGATTTATGGGAGAATAATCGAAGAAAAGCTTGGGTGCTTGTTGTCAATTCATAGCCCACAAGTCACCTGTTGTAAATTTAGTTTATAATAGTGTAATTAGCTGCCACATGGCCAGATTTTCTAAATGTTCTTCCTCCTGTTGGGAGCTTGACAATTTGAATGCCATAGAATATCAATACCGGTCTTTTACACCCCTTTGCCAGAGCTGCCTCAGGACATGTTGAGCTGGCGTGGTAACTGCATTAGAGAATTGAGTTTGTTCTTTTTCAGAAGACAAATATACTATCTTTGAAACCACTTACGAGGGAAAAAATAGACATTAAATACTAGCATATCACACCAAACTAAACTTGTCAGTGATAGGAATAATCTGCCATTGTAAAATATATGGGGCCTTTGCACCCAGAAAGAGAATAGCACCTAAGAGAGGCAAATCCAGCATACATTACACACTTAGAGAAATAAAACCAGGGGGAAAAACAGTCAAATCTAATGCAGAGTGTTGTAATATATAATAACATCAATGAAATAAATGCAGATGTGTTCGCAGCTTCTTAGATGACCAAAGATGTGAATGGAGTTTTCTGAAATATTGTAGAATGTAGCAGATTGCAGCTAAGCAAGCTGCCAGCAAAAGAGGAAAAAAATTAACTGCTCTGTTTAAAGAACATTCAAAAACTAGTGGCAAGCTTTCACTACAAAAGAAATTCTAGTTAATACCGAAAACCTACTTGTTTTCATAATAAAATACTCTAACTTTTGATGCTTACAAACACCCACCAAAACATATTTCAGTCTGGCCATAACTACAAAAGTGGACAGGTTGAATTGCAAAGTATTTTATAAATTATAAATAATCTTTAAGAAATCAGTGAAAATCACTTATTGAAAAAGTAAAGAATCATGTACTTTTTGAATAAATTCTACTTTATGTCAAGTAGAATAGATTTGTCTTTATGAAAAATACACGTAAATTTCAAACTGTTAGACTTGTAAGCAGAATATTAAAAAAAACACTTGTTGCCATCGAGTCGATTCCGACTCATAGTGACCCTGTAGGACAGAGTAGAACTGCCCCATAGAGTTTCCAAGGAGCACCTGGTGGATTCGAACTGCTGACACTTTGGGTAGCAGCCAGAGTACTTAACCACTACACCACCAGGGTTTCTGAGCAGAATGTTAAGAACTCTAAGTGTTTGGTGGCTATATGAAAATTGTACATTTCGAATTCCACTTTCTAACTTTTACTTATTTCTTCCAGTTTCCCTGGCTCTCATGAGTTGGCAGTTCTGTGGTTACATATAGGGCATGATTCATCAGAGACATAACTCCAGATGGCATTGAGGCAGTCCGGCAGCAATTTGTATTCAGTTTGGCTGCCTTATCCATCAGCTGTGTGATGACTACAGTTTGGTTCTTAACTCTGACAATGTGTATGTATAAAAATGACAAAGAAATAGTCTTTTGGCAACATCCCTCTCGATGGCAGCCCAATGTGGAGGACTTTGCTTAAAAATCTGCTCATGATGGTCTAATAATTGCAGAAAAGTGTTAAGTAGATAGTTGATATGTAAATGCTTTTAAAATCAAACCCTTTGCCATTAAGTTGATTCCGACTCATAGTGACTCTATAGGACAGAATAGAACTGCCTCCATGGGGTTTCCAAGGAGAGGCTGAGGAGTTGGAACAGCCGACATTTTGGTTAGCAGCCAAGCTCTTAACCACTGCACCAAGGGCAATACAGATATTTGAAAAGTGAATCCTAAGATACAATATCTACTGTGCAATATCATGGAGAAGTTGTTCTCTTCATTGATATTTTGTGTTCCACCAAGAAATAAAGAAAATAAAAGTAATAATAAAAAATAATAATCACAATTATTTATTAGGTGCCCACTATTTACAAAACACTGAACTAGACATGTGACACACATCTTGTTCATTTTCCTCATGTTAGAAATTACGGTTCAAAGAAATGAATCAATTTGTTCACAGTCTCAGAGATTATAATATAAACAGAAAAGAGTCAAGATTAATTTTTAAAATACCTATCAAGAATGATGTACAAAATTACTCTTAAATATAAAATATAACAAATCAATAGATCAAGACATTTATGTAATGAGGACACTTCTGTGACCATGTGATTTGAAATATATTTTTCTCCTATTCATGTATACTCTGGGATGTATGAAAAGACTGGGGGACAATGTGTTATTTTAGTCACAAAAATGAAATATCAATGTGAATGTTTCATCATGAGTAATTGTCATTGTCCTATTTAAAATTCTCTTTACTCATTCACTCAATAATTATGGAAAATAGAACCCACATTGTCAGTCTTCTAATACATAACACCAAGACTTGCTCAAATTTTCCTGATTTACAGCCTAACTTCTGAAAATCAGTTGGCCAAAGTCCAGCCTACCCCTTCCACCAAATGTGCTTTTGTAACTACTTAAGTTGCATGTACATTTTACTATAGATTTCATTTATTACATATTTATGTAATTCACATACTATATGTATTTCATGGATTGTTATTGCTGTTGTCAGGTGCCATCAAGTCAGCTCTGACTCATAGTGACCTTATGTATAACAGAAGGAAACGTTGCCTGGTCCCGTGCCATCCTGACAATAGTAGGTATGTTTCAGCCCATCTTTGCAGCTACTGTGTTAATCCGTCTCATTGGGGGTCTTTCTCTTTTTTGCCGACCCTCTGCTTTACCAAGCATAATGTCCTTCTCCAGGGATTGGTTCCTCCTGATAACATGTCCAAAGTAAGCGAGACAAAGTCTCGACATCCATGCTTTCAAGGAGCATTTTGGCTGTACTTCTTGCAAGACAGATTTGTTCACTGGCAGTCCATGGTATATTCAATATTCTTCACCAACACCATAATTCAAAAGCATCAATTCTTCTTCTGTCTTCCTATTTCCTTTTTATTGTACTTCAGGTGAAGGCTTACAGAACAAATAGTTTCTCATGCAACAGTAGTACACATATTGTTTTATGACATTGGTTAACAACCCCACAAAATGTCAACCCTCTAACTTCTCAACCTTTTTTTTTTTTTTGGTGAAAATAAACATAGCCAAAGATACACCATTTCAAAAATTTCAACATGCACAGTTCAGTGACATCGACTACACTCTTCCAATTATGCTGCTATTCTCACTTAAGATGAAGGCTTACAGAACAAAATACTTTCTCCTTTAACAGTTACTACACATGTTGCCCTGTGACAATGGTTAACAATCTCACAACACATCAACAATATCCTTACTCAACCTTGGGTTCCCTATCACCAGCTTCCTTTTCCCTTCTGCCTTCTGGCCCTTGTCACTGGGCTACTGTATCTCATTAGTCCCATTTGGTTTTACGGGGCTGTCCGCTCCCAGGCTAAAAGGCGAACCTCGGAGATAACTTCACCACTGAGCTAAAAGGGTGTCTGGGGGCCATACTCTCGGGGTTTCTCCAGTCTCCTTTAGGCCAGCAAATCTGCTCTTTTTTGGTGAGTTAGAATTATGTTCTACATCCTTCTCTAGCTCTGTCCAGAACCCTCTGTTGTGATCCTGGTCAGAGCAGTCAGTGGTGGTAGCCAGGCACCATCTAGCTGTACTGGACTCAGTCCGGTCGAGGCCTTGGTAGCTGTGGACCATTAGTCCTTTGGACTAATCTTTTCCTTGTATCCTGTTCTCTTCATTCTCCCTTGCTCCCGAAGGGATGAGACCAGTGGAGTATCTTAGATGGCTGCTCACAGGGTAGAATGTAGAACACTGTCTTTATAAACTGTATTATGCCAATTGAGCTAGATGTTCCCAGATACCATGGTCCCCACAGCCCTCCACCAAATACGACTCTGTCAGAAGTGGGATTCGAACCCATGCCTCCATCTGGAGACCAGAAGTCCCGAAACCAGGAAGTGAAAGCTTGAGTCTGGCACCTTAGACCACTTGGCCATCCTGACACCACACCTGTCTTCTTTTTTCATTGTCCAGCTTTCATGTGCATAGGAGGTGAGTGAAAATACCATGGTTTATGTCAGGCTCACCTTAGTCATCAGAGTGACATTTTGCTTTCTAAGATTTCAAAGAGGTCTTTTGCAGCAGATTTGCCCAATGCAGTATGTCATTTGATTTCATGACCATGGCTTCCATGGGAATTGATTGTGGATCCAGGTAAAAAGAAATCCTTGACAATGTCAATATTTTCTCCATCTATTATGGTGTTGCTTATTGGTCCAGTTGTAAGGATTTTTGTTTTATTTTGAGGTGTAATCCATATTGAAGGCTGTTGACTTTGATCTTCAACAGTAAGTGCTTCAAGTCCTCTTCGATTTCAGCAAGCCAGGTTGTGTCATCTGCACATCACAAGTTGTTAATGAGTCTTCCTCCAACCCTGAAGTCATATTCTTCTTCATACAGTCCAGCTTCTTGGAGTATCTGCTCAACATACAGATTGGATAAGTATGGTAAAAGGATACAACCCCGGTGCACACATTTTCTGATTTTAAGCCACTCAGTATTCTTTTCAAACGACTGCCTCTTCATCTATGTACAGGTTCTACATCAACACAATTAAGTGTTCTGGAATTCCCACTCTTCACAATGTTATCCACAATTTGTTATGATCCACACAGTCAAATGCTTTTTCATTGTCAATAAAACACAGGTAAACATCTTTCTGACATTCTCTGCTTTCAGTCAAGATCCATCAGACATCACAATGACATCCCTCATTCCACATCCTTTTCTGAATCTGGCCAGGTAGTTGTCTTCCAAATTTCTTGGTGTAGATGAATGAGTGCTTCCAGCATTGTATCTAGTTATTGAAGCATCTTGATGAGTATTTCATGGGGTCTTATTTTTCACCAATTCTTTCAGTGCATCTTGACCTTCTTTCTTCAGTACCATCGGTTTTTGACCATAAGCTACCTCCTGAAGTGGTTGAAAGTCAATCAATTCTTTTAGTGCTGTGTCTCTGTGTATTCCCTCCATCCTCTTTTGATGCTTCCTGCATCATTCAATATTTTGCCCATAGAATCCTTCAATATGGCAACTTGAGGCTTGAATTTTTCTTCAGTTCTTTCAATTTGAGAAATGCCAAGCATGTTCTTTCCTTTTGGTTTTCTGACTCTAAGTCTTTGCGCATTTCATTATAATACATACTATATACATTTCATATATAACATACACACACATAGATATATATACACACATGTATTTATTTAAAAATTAAAATAGTTCTTCAAGGTTTATGGTAAATAAAACAGCTATCGCCACTCCGTTCTCCCTATATCAGTGCTCTGCTGCATAGAAGCAGCCATTTTCAACTCCTTTAACTTTTTCTTCAATGTTTCACTCCAGATATCTAAATGTTCATGGAGCTGGGGTTTTTTGATTTTTAAATTTTAGGCTTTATCTATCTTGGTCTTGCTATGGAAAATGAGAATTTAACTATTTACCCTGCCTCAATCCTTTCAATCAAACTGTATCACTGGTTTTCATTAAATTAGTTTTCACTGTTTATATTATTATAAAAGTATAAATACTGTTCAAAGTTGAGTACAATCTAGTCTTCTATATGTTTCCTGTAGGTAGTAATAGACTAATCTTTTCCTTTGCTTAGGTTTCTTTGTATCTCTCACTAATCATCATTCTGCTGCAGAACTATAAAATTTTTCTTAACGTATTCAGACATCTATCACTGCCATTGTTTACTGGAATTCTTCTCTATCCCTCTGGACTAGTTATTCTGTAAGAATACTGCATAGCTCTTATACTGGGTTTTCCCTTTAGTATCTTCATAGGAATCCCCTTTAACCCTCTCCTGTATGGAGCTCTCCATTCCTGGATCCCATATCTTCCTGTTTCATAGTTAACTCTCTCATTTTGGTGACATATATCATCCTGTAGCTTCTAGAGAAAGGGTCCACGGTCTTAAAATGCTTTTATTCTATCTACATTATTAATTTTTAGTTTGGCTGTGTATAAAATTCTAGGATAGAAATAATTTCCTTCAAACCTTAAAGATATTAAATAACTTTCTTCTAATTCCCAATGTTGTTACTGTTTTTTCCTTTTTTTTACTATATATGTAAGTATTTTTTAAATAATATTTTATTGTGTTTTCAGTGAAATTTTACACAGTGGTTTAGGTTCCCACACAAAAATTTCTACACAAGTTGTTCAGAGACATTGGTTACATGCTTTACAATGTATGAACATTTTCATTATTTTCGTTCTGGTCATTCCGTTTCCATTAATTTAGTTTCCCTACCTCTTTACAGTCTCACCTTTGTATTAAAGTAATAGTTGACCGTTAGGTCTCATATAATTTTTTTTTTTTTTTGGCTTTATAGAACAGACATTTACTCTCTCACAGTTTAGGAGGCTAAAAGTCCAGATTCAAGGCATCTGCTCTAGGGAAAGGCTCTTTCTCTCTCTGTTGGCTCTGGGGGAAGAACTTTGTTTCAGTTTCTGTGCCTCAATCTCTTGGTGATCTTCATGTGGCATCTCTTTTACCCCTGTTTGTCCTTGCTTCTCTGCGCCTAATTTGCTGTTTGTGTATCTCAGAAGTGATTGATTTAAGACATACCCTACACCGATATGGCCTCATTAACATAACTAAGAAAATCCTATTCCCAAATGACATTCCATCCACAGGTATAAAAAACCAAAAATCAGGCCTATTGCCGTTGAGTAGATTTTAACTCATAGTGACCCTAAAGGGTGGGACTTAGGATTTATAACACATAATTTGGGGGCACAGTTCAATCCGTAACAATCTGTAATAAAGAAATCTAACTTAGTTTAATCCAGCATTTCCCAACCATGGAATCTCATTTCCCCCCATTATGCTTATTAAATTTCTACTCTCCAACATGAAAGACCAGGGATGTGTAAAGTCTTAAGGGAAGGAAAAGAGCGGGGGAAGGGAAGATGGAACCCGCTGCTTCCTGTGTACTTGTTAACCCAGATAGAGAGAAGAGATGGGGTAGGGAAGTAGGAGTAGAAAAGGAAAGTGTACAGGGAGAGCACATCACTGGCTCTCCTGCACCACCACCACCCCACTCAGAATCCTGGACCAAGTGCAGAGAAGAGGCCCGGAGCAGCCAGCGACTAATAACGTACCCAGGAAATCTGGAAGACCTCCACGCAGATTCCAGTCTGTTGGTTGAGGAGCTGCATTCATGCTTGGCCTCTGTAATTTCCCAGCTGTGTAACTTTGGGCATGCTGTTTAAAGTCCCTGGGCCTCTCTTCAGCTCTGAAGATTAAATTAGATAGTATATGTAGGCAATCTCATACTTTAATGTGACATGGAGGACTTGTTAAAACACAAATTGCTGGGCTCCACCCCCAGGTTTTTTGATTGAGTAGGTCTGAAGGATTTCTAACTAACCAGGTAATGCAGGTGCTGCTGGTGTGGGGACTTTGAGTAATACTGATGTAAGTTGAAGTGCTTTGTAAATTGTATACATCTTAATCAATTAAGTTTATTAATCCATTCTCTGTTAAAATAATGATGTTTTAATAGGATAAGGAGGTCCCTGGGTGGTACAAACCGTTTGCACTCAACTTCTAACCTAAAGGTTGGTGGTTTGAACCTATCCAGCAGTGATGAGGAGGAAAGGCCTGGCAATCTGCTTCCATAAAGATTACAGCCGAGAAAACCCTCTGAAGTAGTTCTACTCTGTAACACATGGGTTAGCATAAGTCAGAATTGACTGGACAGCAATGGGTAAAAGTGTGATAAGGTTTATCTCTTGTCACCTCTATACCTTTGGGAGGAAATATTTTTGTTTCTAGGCAAGGGGAGTGTTTCTCAAGATGGAAGTTTCAATGTATCTGAGGGTTGGCCAGCCTCCCACAGTCCCTTTATCACACTGCCTGGGCAGGTGTCTGCTCTGAACCTGGAGGGTGTCAGTGCCCTCAGACATTCTCCAATGATGGCAGTGGTCAACCGTCCCCTCCACAGATGCTGACACGCCCCCTTGATCACTGTATTCTGTGGAACCCTTGTCTCTCAAGATTTCCTGTGGAAAAAGCTTTTCTGAGATTATATAGCTTAGGGGTGTGTTCTATTTCCCTCTTTGAGCTCAAAATATCCATTAGTACATAAAGGCTCTGAGAAGTCCTGCAGGAAAGAAACCTATTTAACTTTCCTATTGTGGAGCCCTGGTGGTACAGTGGTTAAGAGCTCAGCTGCTAACCAAAAGGTCAGCAGTTCAAATCCATCAGCCACTCCTTGGAAACCCTACGAGGCAGTTCTATTCTGTCCTATAGGGTTCTACTCTGTCCTATAGGGTTCTACTCTGTGCTATAGGGTTGCTATGAGTCAGAATCGACTTAACGGCAATGGGCTTGGCTTTTTTTTTTTTTTTAATGGTATAGGGAAGGAGCCCTGGTGGCGCAGTGGTTAAAGTGCTGGGCTGCTAACCAAAATGTTGGCAGTTTGAACTCCCCAGCTGCTCCATGGGAGAAAGATGTTGCAGTCGGCTTCTGTAAAGATTACAGCCTTGGAATCCCTATGGGGCAGTTCTACTGTATCCTATAGGGTCACTATGAGTTAGGATCAACCTGACGGCAATGGGTTTGTTTTTTTGCTTTTCTGGATGATATAGTAGGCAGAAGCACAGAGTCCAGATCTGCACTGTCCAACACAGTTGTCAGTAGCCACATGTGCATATTTACACTCATGACATTTACAAAAAATTAAAAACTCAGTTTCTTAGTCCCACTAGCCACATTGCAAGTGCTCAATGCCGTATATGGTTAGTACCTACCATTTTGGACAAGTGGGAATATTGCCTTCATTGCAATACCACAACTCTCACTGCCCCCCACCTTTCAAGGCAGGCCAATGTTTAGATTTTTCATGAATATCTTAGTGACCTTGTAATGTTGGCATGATGGAGATTATTATTTCTCTGTTCTTATTGTGAGGGCATTGTTTTTTTTTATTGC